CGCCGCCGGCTTTCCGTGCACCAAGGACCGTCCGCCATGCACGTGCATGTTCCCAGTCCTGGCGCTAGGGGCTTGACGAGGCTTCTTGGTCTTTTGGTCTCGGGTAGCACAGCGGCAGGAAGATGAGGAAGTACAGGTAAGACAGAGTAGCGTCGTGGCATGGAAGGACTGCATGCAAAAGAAGGGCTACTCGGCTGGCTGTGCTTCATGCATGGCCCAGTTGGTGGGCTGCTCGAGGGACCACTGCATGAACCAATGTGTCTTGGTCTTGCGTGTCGCCAGAAACATTTGTCCTTTTCTTCCCAGAGTCCTCAAGCACACCCGGAGTGTCATGTTGCCTCTCAAGCTACGGCCCATGCAGGCATCACCAACGACAAGGCGCCTGCTTGCACGCACTGCGTGAAGGCCAGCTGCCGCCACAAGATGAAGGCCTGCAGCGGTCTCAACGCCGGTGGACACTGAGAACCTCGCGTTCGAATGACTGGCTACATCGCCAGGCCGCCCAATGAGGTGGAGCTTGGCCAATTTTGGTTCCTGGCAACAGATGTCCTGGAAGCACAGAGCTTGGTTTCAACAGGACCAGATTCGCACATTCCAGCAGACTCGTATTTCTGAACAAGCAGCCGTGCTGTTTTTGCTTGACAGTTCGGTTTTGGTACCACAACTAGACGCATGGTCGACTGCTTATAGGTAGTTTGTTTCAGCTACATCGAGGCCTCGCCGTGCAAAGTTGTTGGCAGTATGTTTCAGCGACGTTTCCCTATTCTCATGTTCTGCTCACATGCGAAATGCTTCTGCGTGGCTTCAGACTGACGTCGTTTGCAACGTTGTACATCTTTCGCTTCAACTGAGCGGACCCCGAAAACCACAAGCCGAACACCCGAAGCAAGGCAGCCGCAGCACAAGATCCAAAATGCAAGCTCCAATTCCTCCTCTAGCCTCGCGTTTGAACATTCCATGGGCTTCTCGCTGATGAAGCTGATGCATCCGAGAATCCTGGTACCTCTTCTTCTTTTCGCGGCTATCCCTGGATATCGCCTCACGGCACAGCCGCCGGCAACAAAGCGGACAAGGACCTTGAAGATTCGCATGTTTTGGGTCCGGCAACTCGGCTGAGCTCAGCATAGCCGCGCCTTGCTTCTTCAAAATGCGGAGGTGCACGCTTGTGCTACTGACACTTTGGCACACAGAAAAGCCAGAGAATTCGTGCTTCGGTATTGGTCGTGCCACTCAAAACGATTTCCATGGCTCCACGATGCAGCGATGTGAAGCACCTTCACGAGCCACACGCCGGTAGCTTGCTCAGCTAACAAGCTAGCCTAATTAATTAGGCCCGACTTCCTCTATTTCCTCTATTCACTCGCAGCAATATCATTGAGTTGCTTAGGAGCTAGAAAGCAGTGGCACTGGGAAACCAAAGAGGACTCAGCGACTGCAGCAGATCAGAGCGCGTGCAAGTGTCAGAGCTGACGTGGGTGGAAACTTGATAGCGAAAGCAGCTTGAACGACTATTCAACAAGCTTTTCAGAGCAGGTTCACGATATTGTCACCCAAAAATCCTGCCCAAATCTAAAATCCTCAAAACGGATTCTGGACTTTCTATTTTTCCGGCTAGAAGTCCTGGTTTATCAAGGCTACAGGGTGGGAATGTGTTTAAAACCGTGTGCGCGCAAGGGCGAAGCGGAAGGCGATTTTCGAGTTACGGGCTGCAACCATAATACAAAAAACAACCACAAGCTCTGGACTCAAACTTCGAAATCCACCTGGCGGGTCTACAAAGGACGCCTCCTGCAAAAGAAGGCCTTGACTCACTGGCTCTACATAGACTACACATACAGAAGTACGATGTTGTCATGCTGCTTATGTACGTGGTCATGGTAATGTCACGAGAAATGCTACTCTGAATAAAGTTTGGTTGCACTTACAACGTACCCGGTGTCTGCTTTTCCTTCGCACGTGCCTTGATGAGGGTCTATGGATGACATTGGATGACTATGAAACCGCGACGACGAAGATGACGACGCCAACGGTGGATGGGTCACATTGCTTTCTAAACCTTATTTTCGAACGACTTAAGGGCTGGCAGCCAGCCAGAGCACGCGATGGTAGCAAGGGTTCCACCATACCTACAGAAAGCGCTTGCGAGTCTCGGAGTTAACAGCACCGAGACTCCGAGTCTCGGAGCCAAAGCCCGGCAGCAAGCAGAGATTCTACCGAGGCACGGCCTCTCCTGTGCCAACATCCTCCAGTCGAAGTGCACGAAGGCCTGCATGACTTTCAAAATCGGTCGTTGCACTGATGATGTATTGATTATGATTGGGCCATGGGCTTGTTATACCTGCAGTGAAGGGATTAGATTGCCGGCAGGCATGCCTAGACCATTGTCTTTTAGGGCTCGTTGGTGTGGTCTCGATCCAGCTGTGCTGCGGTGTTTTGGAATATTCCAAACTTTGCACTTTGGAGTGCTCCTGCCAAAGTGCCGTGCGTGTTAGGTGGACTCGGCTTCCCGCCCGTCCGGGCATGTCCGCCCGCCGAAATCGTGCTTCCACCTCCCTAAGTCGCGCTCCCGTCGTGGTCCAGTGCCTGCTCCGTTGCCTTGAGTTTTCATGGTGGATGCTGCTGGAATGATTCTTGGGACGGACAGCCGTGCATGCCGAGGGCACTGTAGGCGATATAGAGTATTGGCGATGGGTTCGGGGTTTTGGAAGTGGGTCCACGGATCTATACATTCACGGCCTCACATCTGTAAGAGCAGGCGCAGCAGTACCAGTAGCAGCAGAAGCAGCGTAGTAGCAGTAGTAGTAGCAGTAGCAGCAGTAGCAAAGTACTAGCACTAGTAGCGGCAGCAAAAGCAGCAGTTAGATGAGAGGATCAGTAACCGGTGCAGTAACAGTAGCACGTCACTTGTAGCTTAAATGCTGAGCACCGCAAGCTTAAGACTACGGCTGGTAATCACTGAACAGGACAAGTGTAGCAAGTTCACGAACAGCACGATTAATCCCGCATGGTCTAAATCGTCCTCCCATGTCGGCACTTACATACTTGCACCCAACAGATGGCAACTATCAACATATTCTCTTTATTTTGAGAACTAACCAATCGTTGTTTCGATTTTTGTTCGTGAATGAACCGTGTTCGTGTGATTCAGAGTGGTTCCCTGATTGGCAAAACCCGAAGCCCGAAGCCCCAAACCCCTGTCCCCTCCCTTCCCTTGCACACAGGCTAGTAATAGGCTAGTAATAGAAACCTCATGGAACACATAACTCGACTCCCCTAAGCCCTGAGGTCCTCGCCCGAATATTGCAGGAACCTGCCCTTGCGCAGCGGCTTTTCACCGAGAAGCGGCCCGAGCTGGAGGCTTCGGTGTAAAGTCTTTAAAATTTGAGAACAGGCTAAGGACCTAAAGGAGTTGGACGCCTTTCGGATCACAGGCCCCTTATGAGGGCGGTCTTAATTTTAATGTGTATAGTCTACATACATCATTTCAGTGTCTCTTGTTCTGAAACTTACATCTGTGTGGCTAGGGTTCAGGAGGGATTATCGTCATTGTGGTGGTGGGGCTATTGCGTGTTTGAGGTTCAAGACTGGTTATAGGGATTATAGGGTCACGGTTGCTGGCTGCTGGGTTTACGTAAGGCTTCGGGGCCTCAGGGTTGGAGGCTGTTGTGCTTCAACATTATCGACCCTGACTTGCTGGGTCCCGTTTGAGACCTCTTAAAACGGAAGCCATGTGCTCCTTTGTTACGGCGGCCGCCAATGTGTCAAGCCTCCAATGCAAGCACATTCGTAAGGGACACTTATCACCTCACAGGTTATCTGATGAAGAAAACCCAGGTGTGGACATTGAATGTATTGTTCTGTTCACCCAGGTTTGACTTTGTTTCGGTTTCGCAGCATGAAGGTTGAGTATACAGGATTTACAGTTTGGCGGGTGACAAGCTCTCTTTTGAGAATGGAAACAGCTGTGGCAGACATGTTCAGGATTTTTGTTTTCCAGGGCCTGGCCCAAAAAGCTGAATCGAAACTGAGCCTGGCACATGAAGATTTGTAAGCATGAGGCATTCGGGATCCTTGTCTCTACCTGCTTATTTGGGGAATCGGAACGCCCCGAAATACTACAAGTCGCAGTGGAGGCAGCAGTCCGACGCCACTTCGCTGTGCCCGGGGCACTCAACGGGGGCGCTGCCGAGGAGTTGCTTGGCACGGCAGGAAGCTGACAGTACCGTACCTGTCCCGAGGCTCCAGCAAACCTTCGATCTAAAGCAGGGGGTTCAGTGTTTTGGTCGCTTTGGCAAGAAATTCGCGATCTCGCAATCGCAACATGCTCGTCGTCGAGTGGATTTGTATTTTGTAGTGCCTGAGTTTGTTGGGCTTTCCAGTGCGATGTGCCTTGTCGGCAAGGTGACTTGAGGGGTAGATAGTGGATGATCCTTTCTCTCTACCTGACGAGTCTTACACTTAGCCACGATCTGGCTTTCTCCCGGGTTTTCCCGGGGTACCGGCCTTGCATCTCAGGTTACGTCGGCTTTCATGTTAGTTGCACGGATGGTAAACTTCGCTTTTGTTGGGGTCATGGTGTTGCTTCGGATCTGCATCAAGGCTCACAGCAATGACAGTTCCTACACCTTGGGCTTATAGAGGATCCAACACAAAGCCGCATCCTGATGTGGCTGACGTGGTTCATTGGCGAGCTCCATGCTGTCTAAAGCATGCTAAGCAAATGAAAAGACCCCGAATAGACAGTGTATACGCTTTTGCATCTTAAACGCCTGGATTCTGACCCACCCGACTTAGCAGCTTTGAAGTGACTCAGAGCGGGAAAGGGTGCTCAACACGCCCCAAGAGCTCATGGCGGCACAATCTGGAAGCAAGGGGGAGCCATTGCTGCTCGTCCATACTCACCGGCAGGAGCTGCTAAAAATTCACGCGCCAGAACACCCTGAACCCAACATTCCTTACGGTTTAGGGCACGCCTGACGCAGAAGCTTGTAATAGCCTTTGGATGCCTGACCTGTATGTTGGCTCCTCCAAGTGAAACTCCGACTCTGCAGGAGCTTCGAGCAGTGGGGCTTCTTGCACTGCCAGTGATCATCTTCTCGTTGGCGGGCTTTGTACCCTCGTGGCTACAGTTCTTTACCGTGGGGCAGCTGCACCTCGATCCGTGGTTCGAGGTGGCAGTTTCTGAAAGCAGGTTTTAGGGTCAGAACAAAGGTTGGGTTGTAGCTAATGGGACAAGCTAGACCCCGACCGTTTGGAGCTTGTGTTAGTGATCCATTGCCTTGAGCTTCCCAGGCAGGGCTTCCAATCGCAGTGCCTTGGTCCATCTTGCAGTCTCATGCGGAGATGGCTACTCTTTGGGGAATACTGGCGATTGCCCAAACTCTGCTGGGCATGGGACTTTTGCCACAGGTTCCCAGCCAGGTGGGGGATTTGTGCAACTGGGAGCGTAAGGATGCTGCTTCCCAGAGTCCACATGATGCGAATTCTCTGAAATTCCCAGGTGCATCGCGTTCTCGGATACTTCCTGATCTTTCTGGGAGTGCTAGCCTTCGGAAGCGGCAGCCTCCTGGAGATCCTCGAGTATGGAGGGTGCCCTACATGGCCTCTGGGACTGATTTCATTTCTACAGCAAGCACATGCAAGCACTATGTGTGACTATATTTCCATAGGAGCATACAATCTCCCTGGATTTCATGCGTATCCGGCCTCCGCATCAACCCCATGCAGGCTACATCTGTTGGGAGGCGTGATGATCTTCCTGCACTTCGGCTTGCTTCTCCACTTTGCACGTGCAAAGCAGCGGAAGGAACATGCTTTTGCCGTCCTGTCGATGCTGCTTTGGGCTTTGTACCCTGGATGGGCACGGATTGTTGGGTTCTTCATTGAACTCCACTTTGGCATTCCATGCGGCTTACACGCCTGGGCGGGGTATGAGTTCATTGCGGCTTCTTCTTGCGCGTTGGCCTTGTTCCTGCTCGCCTTGCGGGAGTACCGCATTTCTGGGATTCAGATCGCACCACAGAGGTCATCTCTCAACGCCCCGTCGGTGCTTCTGATGAGCAGCATGGTTTTCTTTGCGTATGCAGCGGTAGATCTGATCCATGCATGCCTGTCGCACGCCTTCCTGCGGTGTCCAGGATGATGTCCGCAGGGGCAGTATACCTCTTGGGGCACCATCAACTGGGGGATACAGGTCCAAGAAGCCGCATAGCTTGGAACAGAGACAGCAGGTAGCCTCGGCCAGGAGAGCTCGACAGGAGTCCTGCAAGGATTTAAAAGGCATCTTGATGAGGAGTGTTCTGTCAAGTTGCGTGTCAGTGCTGGGTGCTGTGTGGTCAAGAGCAACGTCAATCACCCCTGCCTCTAACAAAACTCGAACCCGACACTATTGCCATCACGTTCTTAGTGCCATGGTTTGTCCATGTTTGCCCGAAGGGTGTCGGGCAGGTGAGCCTTTCAGAGTGTGACACGTAGCAGACGTAGCTCTAGACTCCTTTGCGCCCCATTGCTCATGCCGCGGGGCCCCACGGGGTACTGAACATGTCAGAGAGTGAAGCCATGAGGACAATCGCATGGCCTAGGCGGTAGGCCACTGTAGGCTAAAGCTGGGAGCTTGGGCTGTGTTCATCGCTGTAAGTCTGAGTGTGCTTCCCTTTCGGAGTGGCAGGGGCATGGGGGTTAGAGGAGTTGTATGCCCGTGTACAGAAGCACGAGCAGCCGAGCGGTAGCCTGCGGTCCGCACAGCAACATGCAGAGTCATTTGAGGCTGCGGCTGGGTCACAACTTCAGCCAAGAGGCCTACATTGATGACTCCTGTCCGCACTGGCGCACTGAACATGCTGTCTTGTGTCTGGCTGCAGCACAAGGCTTCGAAGTCAAGAGACAGTGGAGAGTCTAGCTGCTAGCCCATCAAGCCTGCTACCCATGCTTCTCCAAACTCGTGCTAAATGGAACTCAAGTGTGACAAACAGACAACAGCACAGTGACTCATATAACAGCCACCATCATTCCCGTGATCATCGTCACAAGCGGCACTAGCAAGCGTAAGGAAAACAAGGCACAGCCCCATTCCCAGGACGACTACCAGATCCGCTCTGCCGGGCCAGACAGTTTCACAGGCACCGGGATTGTGGGTCAGGGCTTCAGGGCTGTAGGATGTAAGGGTTGCGATGTAGTTGTAGGGGCATGGCTCCAGCAGGATAGGTGCATGCAGTTACCTTGATCTTGACTGGCCCCCTCACATGGTGTTCGCAGTCGCAGCTGCTTGCTCTGACTTTTTGTCTGGACCGTTTGGGTACCCAGGTAAAGCAGGCGGTATTACAGCATACTGGGTTTCGAAGCTGTGGATGTTGTATCAGGTGCCGTGCACCCGGTGTGTCATAGCCGCCAGAAAGTAGATGTGAAATGCAACGGCGAGCCGCAGCACCAAGCGGTCGCGGTCATTTCAAGATGCCGACGACGTTGCACATGAGTCCGTAACTCCCGAAATCCTCCAAAGTAGGCTTGATTCCCTGTGCGTGGCATGACTGAGTTTCGAGTTGTCACCTCGACCCAAAACCCCAAAAACCAAAGGCTTCTATGAGATCCACAACGAGGCTGGCGATCCGGCCAAGGCACCCAAGCTGCGGCTTGGCAAGGAAAGCCGAGAAGCTGCAGAATTGGAAACCTCGGCATTTCCACTTAGTACAGCTTCCTCGGACCGACTGCAAGCACAGGAACTAAAAACGAAATGAGTGCCACAGCGTGATGGCACGAGGTGCACCACACGAATTCGTCGTTTCCGCTCTGACGGCGAACTGCACTCCTGGATGGGCAAGAAGAGCAAGAAATGCCAGAAAAGCTGCAAGGCGCGGGAGCCAATCTTGGCCGGGGAGACGGGCTTTACGAAATAAAGATCGAGTTGTGTGGGATTGGGCTCAGCGATGGTACAGTTGCACAGTTGCTCAGGCAGCCCTCACCTCTAGCCGTAATCAATACACGCTGAACTCGAAACTCCAGACACAGCGTTGAATTCTGGATCAAACAGTCCACGGGTTCTGGCTACTCCGATGGTTTGATGCTGTCGAAGGCTGGTGGATGTTTACGAACTTCTAAAGAGAGCTCGGGGGTGCAGAATCTTCGTGAATTTGGGATTCGATGCTGGCACAAAGTGCCCAGGCTGAAGCTTGCTGTGGGGGCATCATCCCACTGCATGGTCTCTACCAAGACCCCTTTCTTACGGACTGCGCGGCATCTTCGCTGTTGCTAAGGTGAGCTTTTCTTCATTTTGAAGGTTAGTTACAGGTCCTGCCAATGAAAGGAATCGCCTTTCCTCCACAACCATCTCAGCCAGTAAGGCATATCAGTCTCAGGCGGCGGGGCTGCAGCTCCTTTCACATCTAGCAGAGATTGGGCAGCCAAAGCTGGATCTGGTCGGTTCAAGCAATCTCATGCGGGCTATGGAGACGGCGTATAACATGTTCTTCTTGGGCCCGAAAGGCAAGCCGCTGTTGCAAGCTTTGGTGCCAAATGCCCTGGTACCTGTACCCTACATGATTCTTGGCCGTTCGTGAAATTATTGAACCTTTGTCAACGTTGGCATCACATCTTCATAAGCTTGTAGTTCGCAAAGGGCTTCGGAGAGTAATGTCAACTCTTCATTAACAAAACCCCCCCGCACGGATTAAGGGCATCCTGCGCGGGCCGCGGACCTGGGTGAAAACATGTTTAAAGGCGCTGGCCTCTTCCGCAAAAGCACGCCCCTTAAGGGCACTGAAAAACCTTGCCAACCCCCCCCCCCCCATTAATTGATGGCAACCCGCGTCCCATGAAACCTCTCCCAAATTCAATTCCAGTCTTCAGGCTTGGCGTGGGTTTGGGATGTCCTTTTTCCTTTGGATTTTGGGTTTTCTGAATTAAAAGTTAGTTGTGGGGGCGATCTGGGCCACCGGCTGACGCGGCGAGGGGGTGGGGGTTATCAATCAAGAGTTCCCATTAGCCCAGGATTGAGAAGCATCATGGAGAGCATGGCTTCGTGCAGATGGACAACCTTCCATTTCCATCGGCACAGCAACTGGACATGTTGCAGTCCCGGCACGGCAAGAACTTCACCGATCTGATTGACGCCGCTTTTGAACACCGTGGCTATCCACGCGAGGAGCAGCAGTGGGAGAAGTTTAAAGCATTGCTCGCGAGTCTCGCTTGCACAAAGCTTTCGGGACCGCGTTCAGTTGTTTTCTTTCTGGAACTAGAAGGTATTCGCGCGAAGGCGTCTTGACATGGTGATGATAATCTTCAGGCAGTTTTCGGTGGTGCTTTCGATATTTATCCGATCCAAGGAATTCCAGGCCCACTTGGTAGCTCCCCAAGGTTTCCACAAAGTCAAGGTGGATCCACTATACTCGGCTCAATCATAGCGCTGGCAAAGCCAATAAGCATCGGCAACAGCAAGAGCAAGGGCAGTGTGTAGCAGTAATGTTGGTAACCCTGGGTAAGCTAGGGGTCGACGCTTTGGGCTGGAGGGTTGGGGAAAGGTTGCAGCAGTCTGAAGCTGCAGTTCGAAGTACTACAGTCACTACAGAGTTTCCTTTAGCGCCTTCAGGTTGCTTGCTGAAGGTTGGCAGGCTGATAGACTAATAGCCACTCGGAATCTATAGGTGTCTATATGAGCTTTCGGAAGATCGGATCAAAGGCTTCCGGCACTCGCAAAATGTAGCGTTAAACTTATGGAGCTCGCAATGGTTGCTTGATGCCCTGCCGTTTGGCGGCGAGATGCATCTGGCATGTCTCTTTCAACTTTGCATTGCCGCAGTGCTTACACAATGCGCTGGACATGCAAGTGGCACGGTTTCCCATCCAGCTTTTCTCTGGATGTTTGGCTCCTCGATGGTCCCAGCTAAACCGTCTAGGCTCGGGGTCTTTGCCAGTATGTCTCGCTCAACCGACACGGCTCATCAGCTTAAATCCCTGTTACACGACCGTTGACCGAAATACCCATCCAGTGAACTCTATATGCACCAAAGCCTGCGCCAAAGCCATGCAGTAAGTTGCGCCGTGATTCGCGGCTTGTCCAGCAATGCTGCGCATCACGAATTCAGTGTCGGGGGCGCGGCTGACGACGAGTCTTCCTCTCAGGGAGCTGAGCGATCTGAAGGCCCTGAAGCAGCACTTGAATCAGCAGTGCGGCCTGCCGCCACGCTTCAGGCAAAGGCTTCTTTACGAAGGCGTCGCTTTGGATGATGCCGTCGATGCCTTCCACCTGAAGCTTCTGGCTGGGAAGTCCAGCGAGGGCATGCACACGAAAACGGCGCGCTGCGGTGGCCGAGCATAGTTTCGCGGGCGACAGAGCCTCGGCGCGGCGCTTGGAACCAGAGGCTGTGCCGCCATCACGCAGACGCAGGCGGCTTGACGAGGAGAAGAATTTGAATGACTTTGTCGAGCCGAACACCGTGATGGATCTGCAGGTTGTGATTTCTATGGCACGGTGCCTCGAAACATCTCTAAACGGTGAAGTCGCGAACTCCGTTGCCATGAATCGCGTGGACAATCCCGCAGTAGCGAAGATCTCAGAAAAAGTGGTGAAGACCACATTCCCGCAAGAACATGAGCAACGGGAAGTGTTTAAGGATTATTTCGTTCCCCTTACCGATGACAATGGGGTGAGATACTGGCGCAGCGACCGCAGAGAGCAGCTCTTGTACTTCCGGTCACCAGAGCAGATCTGGGTCCTGAGCATTGCTGCACAGCCGAAGGTGCCAATCGCGAGCTCAAAAGACTTCAAAGAGTGGCAACTGGGGTCTGAGACTGTGACCGCTCCCTTGCACGTGCTGCGAGCCAGACCTCAAGAGATGAAAAACAGATTCGCTTCAGCCTCAGGAGCCTTGGTTTTCACCTTCACCTTCCGAAAACAGCTACAGAAAGCTATGCAGAGCAGTCCGTCGAGGCCAAGTGGCCGAGGCAGGGCATTTGGTGCTGACAATGAAGTGAGCAATAACGGGAAATTACATCTTCGGAAATCGTTTATCTTCAAACCTGTAGTACGGGTTGGTTCAAATGTCGCAACATCCGAATCTTCATCAATAGCTTCTGGCTTTGTAGATGAAGGAAGCCACGCCGTAGCTCTCAGGTTGAAGCTCTGCTGCAGCTTCCCATGGACCCGGATGCTGTCAAGGATGAGGATGGCAGTACGCCATTGATGATTGCTTCTAAAAAGGCCGCATGCATGTCGCACGGTTGCTCCTGGAGGCCGGGGCTGACAAGGATTTGCCTGATTGGACTGGCGGTACAGCACTGATGCGTGCAGCATTTTGGGGTCATGCTCCGGTTGTGCAGTTGCTGCTGGAGGCAGGTGCTGAAGCGGACTTGCGCAGCCGTGGGGACAGTACAGCACTGACATTGGCAGCAGGGGAAGGTCATGATCTGGTCGTGCAGTTACTGCTTGAGGCCGGTGCTCGGCATGATGTGCGTGACCCTCGGGGTAGGACCCATCAGCGCGCTGATGGGTGCTTCAAAGATCGGCGTGGCCCCAGTGGTGAAGTTGCTCCTGGAGGCCGGCGCTGACAGGGATCGAAGCGACGACGACGGCCAGACAGCGCTGATGCTTGCGAAGGAACGCGAAGTCCGGCGATTGCTTGAGGCCAGTGCTACGGCATGATCTGAGGATATCTGACGCAACGGCTGCAGAGCGCTGAGGCTGAAGATCAATACCTTATGCGAACTATAGCTAGTAAATCGTATTGTTGCGCGCATGTGTGGCAGGAAGCTCTTGTGGAAAATGGCGATGAGTAAATCAGCAATCCATACAATTTAGTCCCTCACCCCAGACCCTTCAGACCTGTACGGTTGGAAATCCCGCACCTTCGTGGCGCGCGTTGAGTCCGGCACCCCGAACTCCAAACCCTTGCGACCCTACACCCTCAATTTCTGATTCCAGGTCTCCTACCGTTGGATCAGGAATGCTAGTCGTACTTACACATTCCCCCCCCTCACCACGACAACCAAGATGCTAAACCCACGCCGCATCAAGGATGGAGTTAGCGCCCAAGCTCCGGCCGCAGCTGCTGCAGAGGCCTCTCGTTCTCAATACCCCGACACATCGTCGCGGGAGCTTCGCTTTCGGGCTCTACATTGGGGACTGAGAGTGAGGATCCAGGGTGTTGCTGACATGCAGGAGCGTTGACTTGAGGGTGCAGGTGCTTCGGATATCTTCGCATGTTTGGGCGATCAGGATTGTAGCCACCGTTCGAATGGCAACATCATGCAAGCATGACCGCTTTCTTTGGTCTCTAGTCCTGGCCAGGGGGCGCTCGTTTACAGCCGTGAATGGAGAGTCGTGCTTACAATTTGGGAGTTGGCTATCGTGCACAGTCGGTAGGTCGAGAGTTTACGACTGAGCAGCGGACCTAAATTTAAACAGAGGCAGGCTGTTCTGGTCCTACGCTGAACGCAACTCTCACACCAGCAATTACCATGCAACAGCGTCTTGATTCATCGCCAAGGTAGGGGTTCCCTTCAAAAGGCATCTCTTCAGGCGGTTTACAACCTTCAGCAACTTTTTCAAAACCTTGCCAACCATGAAAACACGATACTCCAACATGTCAGATGGCTGTGAATATTGGCATATGGCATATTGGGGAACCTTTTCCAATGGTTTGGAGCGTCGCATACTATGGCAACCCCCCAAACCCGAAGCCAGGGCGGAAGGCTTCAATGTCGCATGGATCAGGGTTGGCGGGATACGGCGGATGCAGGTCTTGGAACTAGTTGTGAAAGTCTGTGCCAGGGTTGGTTGGGCTCCTACTTCGGTGCTGCAAGGAAGAAGAAGTAGCACCCATCGAAGCTGCAAAAGTCCCAGGCTCGAACCGGAAACCCTTAAGCATACACTGCCGCAGCGAAACCGATTCTCGAGCTTTTCATGCCAAGCACTTCGTTGACTCGCCGCAGGCGAGCGATGGCGCAATAGAAAAGGGTTTAATGCCGCGAGCAACAGAAAACTTGTTAATCTCAAAAAGATACATGAATAATACCAAAAGAAATAATTATTAGAACAATACAAAACAAGAAAAGCTATTGATTGAGCAGGTAGAAAAACAGGAAATCCACAACTTCAAAACATAGGATACATACAAACAGACCAGTAGCAAATTAGCAAGCATCAAAACTTGCATCGCACAGGAAAGAATACAGAAGTAGATGCAATGTAAATGTCCAAGACAAATCAACGACAAAACCATAAATCCCCCGAGCAAATACAAACAACGCAACATCAAATCTGGATTGGGATTATGTCATCACCCTTTTCAGGAGGCCTGTCTGGGGAAGCGAACCCTACCCAAGTTTTGCCGTACATGTTTCCTAACTGCAGTACCGAAACGGAATTTCAGGCAGGCCCACAAATCCAAGTTTGGGCTTCGGATTCTGCCACTCAAAGCGAACATGGAAAAACGGGGACATGATGAAGTTTCATGCCATCAGCTCATCACTTTCACCAGGCTTGTCACCATGTGGCACGTCATCTTGCTGTTCTGTGAACAAACCGTCATACACTATTCATCCAGACCGGGCAGCGCAGACCGGGCAGTGCACGTCACAACGGCGGCGGCGCCAGTGCATTCAGGACTACTATGTGATCTTTTGTGGTGGTTTTGGAAGTCTAACGAATCGTGTTTGGAATGGTTTCGAAGCTCTCAGCATTCTGACGAATGAACTCTGTTACTTCCGATAATCTTCCAAGGTGCCACAACTCACCAAGTGAACCGGTGCGCCTAAGCGGGAGTGGTGTTAAGTTGCGGTTCCCTGCAATTGTAAGGCCGCCTCCAGATCCGCGCGATGCCTTGGATGCGCAGCTGGAGAAGGACCGCATGCTGTTTAGGCTTCGGTGATGACGGCTCAGGGAGTTGGACAACAGTGACAACAGGTCAATTTCCGGGGAGTTTAGCGCATACGCTATGGAAGCATGTATGGTACCATCACTAAAACTCTAAAACCTTCAGAGGCTTCAACCTTTTAGCTGAAGCCGTGAACTGACTGGCCTTGAACTGCAGGGCACGTTGTCTCATTGCCCACGACGACACGCGAAGTCAACACTAGTCATTTGCGAAAAGATAAGGACATTTGTTATCGGTCGTTGCAAAGTTTGGACACCTCGGACCTGCGAGTGTGACTGAGTCAGTGTATTGCAATCCTTGCTACGACTTCTAAAATCACTTGTCTTCTTGTTTGCCGCGTGGAAGTAGTTGTTGTTATACATAGGTACTAGTTCTGCTACGGCTACTGCTACTGCTACTGCTACTGTTGCTGCTGCTGGTGCTGCTACTACACTCCTACTGTTACTGCTGCTGCTGCTGCTTAGTGCTGCTACCGACGACGACTACTATTGCTACGGCTGCCCTGCTACTATTTCTATTGCTACTACTACCACTACGACTGCTGCTACTACTACAACGACGACGACGACGACCACGACGACGACGGCGACCACGACTACCATTACTACTACTACTACTACTACTACGACGACGACGACGACGACGACGACGACGACCACGACGACCACGACGACGACGGCGACCACGA